TGCTTTCTAGATTTTTTTCTGCATTTTTTCTTTATATATATGTTAATTACATAACTAGTCAAGGATGGCACCTTAAACTTCATAGAAGTGACATATTTAAAGTTTTCTGCCATTTATTCCGACTTTATCACATGCCTTTTTATTTCCATTGTTATATCCCTCTTCATTCATGTACTCCCTTTAAACTTGAACTAGAGTTTTAGATATTATTGATTATACTCTTCCAATTTCTTTGTATTGTGTACAGTTTACTTTGAAAATAAAAAATGATGAAAAGTGCTGCAGTATTTTTATTTATTTTCAACTTGTTTATTACCCCCCTTCAACAGTTTCATATTCTGAGAATATGAAACTTACCCTTGCCCATATATCTCCTATCTGAATGTTGTTAAAAATAAAATTCATGGATTTTTAGAAAATTTTCAGGAAATTACTCTAGGACCATTTACAATGATTCAAGTGGATTAATGTATGTTCTTCTGCACCATATTGGCCGTCATAATTATCCAGCCTCTTTGCCTAGATAATTTCAGATATTAGGATACTGAATATTAGCTCCTAAGTTATCAGTGGTATTCAAAGAATGTTAGATTTTGAAATATCACTTAAAAATATATTTCTCAGCAGATATTATTTTGAGAACAGTAGCAATAGTTCATCCAGGTAACCAAATGTGTCTAGCAGCTACAAAGTAATAGATTTATCCCTCTCTAGCCCCTCAAAAAAGACCTAGATTTTGCTTTAAATTGCTAAGCCCAAGATAAATATCTACATAAATTAAGTGAGAAGACTGGTAGGCAATTTCCAAGGCAATGGGAAAAGAGAAAATTATAACTTCATTGAGTAAATGAAGACACAAGAATGTATGGCTAGAAAAGAGTATCCTTATAACTGCCAAGGGGCACATCAGTAGGATTAAGGGATAAAGCTTTTGAAAACCTCATCTAAATTGCCTATTATGTCAAGAGAAAGAGAGAGATATCAAGACAACTTCAAGTTGTATCAACCAAAACAGTATTTTAGTGTTATGGCAGATGATTTCTAAATGAAACATATCTTTTTATTTTGTCTTATTTTTTTTTTTAATTTTTTATTGTTGGCTGCTACATCGATGTTCATAGCAGCACAATTCACAATAGCTAGACTGTGGAACCAACCTAGATGCCCTTCAATGGATGAATGGATAAAAAAAATGTGGCATTTATACACAATGGAGTATTACTCTGCATTAAAAAATGACAAAATCATAGAATTTACAGGGAAATGGATGGCATTAGAGCAGATTATGCTAAGTGAAGCTAGCCAATCCCTAAAAAACAAATGCCAAATTGTCTTATACTTTTATGATTTTTATCCCTTGAAAGTTGCATAGGCTGACATAATTAATAATTTAACAAAGGTATTATAAGGCCTACACCTCAGTAGCTTTGAAACTGCTAATTGGGATAATAGGAAATTACTTGTCTTTTCCCAAATGCCAGTGAAGTAGGTCAAGATAATTAATATGCAAGCTGACTTTTCAGTCAAAGGAAAACAAGACAAGTCTCATCTGTGTACTTTTAGTACCATCCATTTCAGACTAAAATGAGTTCAGCCTGAGAAAAATCACAGTATGACTCAGTTAAATAATTGAATTTTAAAATAAGACAAAAGATAGTTCAACCATGAGAACACAGATTGAAGTCTGTTCTAAGGAGGACTAAATTTACACTTCATAAGCACAGCCAAATTCCACATCCATAAGGAAACTGAAAAACATCCAGGGCATCATTTTAGGTATATCTTGCTTCTTAGATTATTTGTAAACTTGTAAGCACCATATAATATGTGCCATATTATATAAGGTAAGATGAAATATAAATGATAATAAGCGGCTTTGGTTGATGACATAATTCTTCATCCTTGATATAAGGCCATATTTTTAGGTTCTCTTCCATTACTCCTTTTGCCCACTTGCTTGATGGTTCCTATTTTTAATTTTATGGCAAACTGAGAAAAATGTTTGAAGCTAGAGACATTAAACTTATTACTTCTGCATGTTTGTACTTGAGTACAAATTTACTTTAGTAGGGTCAAATTGAATGCTGGCCTTGAGCAGGACAGTTAGTAACACACTGCTGTTAGACCTTGATTTTTTTTTAAGTCCCAGTTTCCTGCCAATCTGTGTGGTGGCACAGTGAGTGCACTGTACTGGAGAGAGTGCATGTAAGTCTGAGGCTGATGTAGTGGCCACAACTTCATTCCTGTGTATAAGTTTTGCTCTACTGGAATAACACCAAGCAGCCTGGTTTGAATAAACAGCCTGCTCATTTACTCCTAATGGCCAATCCAGGTGAGTCAATACTATGGCACCCTTAAACTAGACCTTAGTCTTTTGAAAACACTGATTATAAACATACTGGTTCGCAAATGAAAAGTTCATCAAATTGTATACTCCTGAATATTAGAAATAACAATGCAAAACCATGATTAGAAAGGAGAACATACATTTCATCAAATAAGAAACATCTTCCAGGCAAACATGAAATGCAACTCTGTTGAGAACAGTTTGAAATACACTGAGACATCAAGTGGCACAATTTATGGAAAAATACCCAGAAAGCAATGGGGCCTCAACAATAGTGCACAGTCACTTCCAGCAAAGCTGAACTGACCGAAATAGCATGAATTGTCCCATAATATTGAATTGTAAAGAAAAATGTGCAATACCAAATTTACTGACACACTTACTATGGCTATTCTACCTTATCACATTTATTCTGCAAAGAGAACCCACTAAAAATGATGGACAGTACCAAATAACTATTCACTTAATTCACCTGGAACCTGAAAAAAATCCTCACCTACTTAGGGGTACACCTGTATGGCTAACAATCTATCTAATCTACAGAACAATAAAAAAGAGGCTCTAGAAGAAATTGAAAGCTATCTAAATAGAGATGCTCTGTGGGCTACTGGAATTTGGAAGGAATGGCAGGTATGGTACCATGTTTTCCTTTTGTGTCCTAGATATATTTGCTTCTAGTCCTTCCCAACACAATGACCAGGATGAATGGCTAAATACCTCACTTATTCATAAAAAAGACGGCATCAGTGACTCTGCTTGTAGGAATGATGGGATGTTTTCTAAACAGAATTCTCTATTTCAGGGGGCTGTGCTAGTTTCAACACAGTTTATTTTAACACAGCAGAGATAAAGTATTTTATACAATATTTTTAGAGTTAACAAACCTCACATACTTAGTCATAGCCATTATGCAGCAACTGGATGACAACTGAAATAAAATTTTGAATTCAATTTTAGAAAGCAGTTCATTGATTTTGTAAACATTAGAATATTAAATATGTATTATTGCCAGAACTCCTAAAGAGGCCTAGCATGACTCCTAAATATTTTTTACAAGAGTCTTCCATAATCTCTGATAGATGTGAATGTTGGGAAGGCTTGGCAGGTAGTAGATGGTAATTACTTTTTTTAAAAAAAGAATTAGCACATTACTTTTTAAATTTATTTTTAAATGTGGTACTGAGGATTGAACCCAGTGCCTCATGCATGCGAGGCAAGCGCTCTACCACTGAGCTACAACCCCAGCCTGGTAATTACTTTTTCTACACCAATAGTATCCTTTTTATAATATCTCTCATGGATATGATGGCTAAAATATATTTCTTAAGGAAAGTACCTCAGCCTGTAAATTTTATTACAAGCAATTCTTGTACTTGTTGTAGAAGATATAAAATCCCCATTAAATAATACAATGCAAGATCCATACCATAAAAGAAGATCTACTACATTGTCTTGTCAATAATCTTCAAAGTGGCTCTCATATTAAAGGAGCCAAGCTTCACATTAACATGAGGCTTTTGCCTTCTTGGTAATTTGAGAACTTTGAGTTGTTTTTCCAATTACAATGAAGAACTAACATGAATATATCCGGGAATCAAAGTCCTGCATAGTTGTAAAATGGGTTAAAGGCTATTTTCTGTTTGTATCCATCAAAAAAGAGAAGTCTAATGCCCTAAGGGGACCAAATGAGTAACTCATTTCATAACCACTGGCTCTAATCATCTACACTAATCGACTCAGATTGCATTTTGAATAGAGATGCAAGTAGTATCATAGTTCTCTTACACATTCAGGATTTATAGCCAAACCTAGATTTTCTAACAAAAACAACTGAGTTATACACTTAAACTAACCTGAGTTTCTGGAGCAGTGTATGATGTTAGGTATAAACAGATGCTGGGTATAGCATACTGGATAAAGAACTTGATACTTGGGAAACATAATCTTAATCTCAACAAGACAGAGGGTTACTTGATTGGCTTCTCTCTCTTCAGAGATGAGTTCATATAAATTGAGCATTGTAATCAACATATATACCAAGAAAGCACATGGATGCTTTTGGCAAATTGGTTTCTAGAAACAAATACAACTATCTGGAGTTGACAGAAATGCTATGTGACATGTCTCCTTGGAAAACTTGTCTTTTACAATTTTCCTTTAAATCTGATATTGAAAAAGGAAGATATATACATGTGTAGGTATGGTTGGGTGTATATGTGTATAAGTATTTACTTATTTAACCAGGGCTCTGCTAACATCCTGTTTGAAGCATTTATAGTTTCTTAACCCAAACTCAGGGGGTAATCAGTGTGGACCAATGGGATGATGCATGCAAGTGAGAAGAAAGAGGGTAAGAGAAGGAAGAAAAAGAAATGAATACTATTAACCTTAAAAGGCAATAGGTAGTTGGGAGAAAAAAATTTTTTGTTCCAGCTCTGTGTGTCCTGGGATAAAACTTCATTCTTCATTATATATAATTTCCCCCCAAGTTACTTAAGTTATGGAAGTAGGACATGAAGGGGGACCTGACTTCTTATTCAGCAAGTTCATTATTTTAAGAAAAAGGGAAACAATTCTATTTTTCTCAAACAACAAGTTTGAAAAGTTTAGGCCTTTGTATACACAGGCTAAGAATCTCCATAAACATACTTACTTTTTTCTCCTATGTTTTCCCCTGCTGCTTCCCCTTCTTCCTCCTCTTCTTCCTCCTCTTCCTCCACCTCTGGGGGTTGCACATCATCCTGTGTGTCACAGGCACTAACCGGAGCATTCAGACAGCAGTGGTTGAACCCACTATCTCGAGGCAGAGTAAAACTTCGAGGCTTGCCCCCATTGCCATTTAGCACTTGCATCCTCTCACTCTCGGCCAAGGGGTATGGCCCATAGTGATCCTGTAGGTGGCACTTCTGAGTTGGAAGGGTGGATTGCCGCCTGTGCTCAGGGGAGATGGCTGCAGAATCAGAGAAGACAGAATCCTCCAGGGGCAGAGTCTGAAGATAGTGTAAGCCTGAACTTGTTAGTGGTGTCTCAATTAAATCCTGCCAGGAGCGGCGCTGACTGGCTGTCTTGCGAATGGGGGACACTGCACTGCTCCCAGTTACCTCCTGGCGAAACTCCTCATGAGAAGACTGAGACTGAGAGGTCTCCGTGGAGGAAAGCCGGCTGTGTTTTGCTTCCACATAAGGACTGGCACAACTCATCTGTGGAAAAGAGCCTCTGATCAATCTCCACAGAAATAAAAGACCACTTGGAGCATCAAGGAACACTTTAGAATTTTACCAAGGAATATTTAAGTGAATAGATTCTTACACTGTCACGTAATTACTAAGAAGATTGGTAGATATCCCGAAGTTAGGCCCCAACTTATAGTTTAAGAGACAGACTTGTATGTTTTAACATGCAGCTATACAAGGTTCTCATGAAAAATCTGACATTTCAATGGAAAATTTCACAATAATGAAAGTATGAGAAAATGTGAGTGAGAAATATTCAGCAACTAAAACAAACACAGTTTTAAAATATACATTTGGAAATCCTGAAGTTTTGTCTGAAGATTCACATTTTTGGATTTTATGTAGCTTGGGGGTGAAGGCAAGGAGAGAGGCTTTTGGGTATAAGAACATGTTGCCCACAAACAGACTATACACTTCCTCTTCTTCATAGATGAAATGTCTGTTCCTATGGGTGCCACAGAAAAGCTGTCTTATTTTCTATGGAGTTAAAAATGTAGGCAGGATGAGATTATACCTTGTTGGGGATTAGCATTTGCCTTGAATATAGACAATATACGGTGTATAAGCTCAAAATAAAAATGAAATATTTTTTATTTGTGGTATTTAAAGTTTCAGAATTCTGGAGCATCATATAAACATGTATATTAAACAGACTCCATGGTTATCTAAAAAGCTATATGCCAAACATTATAAATAAATAAATAAACAAATAAATAAATAAAAAAATTTTTTTTGGGTGGTTCTAGGGATCAAATCCAACCCAGGGCTTTACACATGTTAGGCAAGTGCTCTGTCACTGAGCTATACCCCAGATCTATAATACTATTTTCTATCAGTTACTTGTAAAGGATATAAAAATGAACTTCACTAGTGTATAGGAGATAAGGTCAATTTTATATCTTTTGTTAAGAAAACTTTTTTTTTTGTGTTGATATCTCCATGAATGCTACTCTGACACAGTGTATGCTCTTAATAAAATTGGTCACATATTCTTCCTTCCTGGAATTTCTGGCAATGTTTTTTCTTTGTAAATTTGTTGGCAGTCAACCACTGAACCACATCCCTGGCCTTTTATTATATTTTATTTAGAGACAGGGTCTTGCTGAGTTGCTAAGTGCCTTGCTAAGTTGCTGAGGCTGGCTTTGAACTCTCAAGCCTCCTGTCTCAGCCTCCTGAGCCACTGGGATTACAGGCATTTGCCACCATGCCTGGCTCTTTGCAAACTTAAAACTATTTTCCTTACTGATTTTAGACCCTCTTTTTTCATTTTTCCAAAGAAACCCAAAGGTTGACATGAAATTTGCTACACAATTTTTAAACATATAAAGAGATGTTTCTTGTCAAAGAATCTGGTGATATATTAAGTATACTTGTATTGTTAACTTACAGAAGGAGGCCGTGGGTATGTGTCATAGGGTGGTGGAGGACTGTCTTGTTTTGGTGTTGATGGAGTATCTGCTTCTTCCTTGTCACTCTCACTCCAGTAATCTGGAAATTCACACACATGGATATATGGACATTCTATTAAATGTTTCTAATTATATTTTTCAGAAATGTACCTTACCATTTAACACAAAGAAATTTAAATTCCATTCCAATACCATACTCCTGAGCACTTCCCTACCCTAGTCATCAACTTCCATTTGTTGGGTTTTGAAGAGGAAGGAAGAGCAAAATTACCTAATTCTAACCTGCTTTCAAAGCAAGTGTTTAGACACAGCCATCATTAATGGACTTAATAAAAGACACTCTGTAAGCCAAATCAGGTTTAGTGTACCTTTGCATCTAGACAAAATTATTATGAAGCTTCAATTAATAATTGATATTACATGATGCTTCTTAAAAGGTTTATCATTTTATCTTAGAGATTAATACTCAAAGAAAAGCAACACATATACTGTTGTGGATCTCTACAGATATAAACAGCTCCAAAAATAATGTTCTCAATTCTTTTCTTTGGCTTCAATTCACTGGTTATCTAACTATCACTGTTTTCAGAGTCATGCTGACATGAATCCGTAACACCACACTCCCACCTCTCTTTGGAAACACATGGCAAACCCTGATCCTTGCCAAATGGAAAAGTGCAAATCTACTGATGTGGCTACAGTTCTAAACTTCCAGAATGATTTAAAAGGGTAGAAAATGTAAGCCACTAGAGAAAGTGACTTGACAGACCTCAAACAAAAGGGAAGGAGAACAATTCTCTGAGCTATACATTAGTAAAGTTAAATCAAATGCAGCAACAAAGTCAATAATCAGAAACTATTCCACTAATATTTCAGCCACCCTATAGCTGATGGGGTAATTATTTCTGTGATTTACCAGAAAAAAACAGAAGTGTTACCCATGTCAATTTCAGATAATAAGAATCAGCCACCCCATAACTGATGGGTTAATGTTTTGTGATTCACTGGGGAAAAAATCTAAAGTGTTACCCATGTCAATTTCAGATACTAAGAGAACAGGCATTAAAACAAAAAGATTCCTTAATCTCATGAAAATTTAAATCATAAAAAAATTCCAAGGTTTAACTAATATTCAGATTTAGGTAAAAAGTCACAGTATCCTTTTTTCCCCCATAGAAACCCTTCTCTTTCCAGGAATTCTCACATTATAATATTTTTATATATATTTTCCCTCTGGTGCTCATTAATAAAAATAAGTACAGCTAACATTTATTGAGAAATTATTGTGTGTTAATAGAAGTAATAATTTGAACCAGGAAATTGCCTTGCCTTAAAACTCCAAGGACTGTTTCTGAGACTCTTTCATTTAATATAGTAGAAGAGTTTGCTAGGGAGTATACTGATAATCATTTAAATGCTCTACCCGCTCCTGATTTATAACTCTGACCACTATAAATAGAAACTCTTTAGCAATGAAGACTGGGAATAAAAGATGTCCATTATATTCAGGCTTTAAAACATAAGGACACTGACAATTCTATTTCTATCTTAATTTTTCCTTTGAATAAAAGGTAGGAAATGACTAGTTAACCTAAATTTTATATCTGTTTTTTTCCATTAAAAAACAATGGAAATAATGGCCAGTGCCAGCCAGTATACTAAGTTTTCCTTCAAATTTGAATTGACATTTTTGCCCAGAAATAGGACCAGCAAACACTGGTGGAAAAAGCATGACCTATATACTCAGGCAGGTATAGGTTGAATTCTTGGCTAGACACTTATTTATTTTTTAAAAATTTGTTCTTATTAGTTGTACATGATATTTGACATATTATACATACATGGGGCACAACTTCCCATTCTTCTGGTTGTACAAGTGGAATTACATTGGTCGTGTATTCATAATGCACATAGGAAAGTAATATCTGATACATTCTACTATCTTTCCTATTCCCATTCTCCCTCCCTTCCCTTCACCCCCTTTGTCTAATCCAAAGTACTTCTAATCTTCCCTAAATTTGCTTATAATCTATAAAATGGGGTCTAATAATAACTTTCCCTTTAGAGTTGTGTGTCAGGGATACTGATTAAGATAATGTAAATTCAAGTGCCTTGCACCTTGAGGACTCTCAACATATATTAGGACCCTTTATTTTTTTTAGATGTATTTGCAGGTAGCATGCCAGGACAGTCTGAGCCAGTTTATACAGGCGATAAATGCCTGGTGGTCATTTTCTCAGGCATTGCTGTTTTTTTTTTTTCCTTATAGCAAGTTCCAGTAATGAAAACTAAAATCTGGAGCCCTGGGTTCTGGGAGGATGGTTTTATGAGAGCCTGAAATCCAACTGGAAAGTCAGTGCTAGAGGTGAAGGGAGTGAGCAACCCTTCCACACAAAGCAGTGGGCTTGCCAAGATCACTCCACCCTTCCCACTATTCCAGGAACTCTGGTTCAATTTCTCCTTGATGTTTACATTGATACCTTGAAGCCTTAAGGAGAAAATATCTCAAGTGGTCCTTATTAGTACACTGAAGAGGAGATGATCAGCATTTTATCCAGGGCTCTATAGCTGTCATTATGAGTGACAAAGATTTCAGGAAGTTCCCTCTCTACTTTTTCTCTTCAGCTAAATTAGGAAGAATTCTAATCCACTATTTCATATAATTCTTGGTTTATTAAGAAGCATCACTGATCTAAACTTTTCTTGGTTGCCTTAGAAAAGGCTGAAATACCACTTTGCAAGTTAACTTCTTTTCTTACACTAAGTGGTGTGTGTTTGAGAGAGCAATTCCAGAGAAGAAGCTACACAGAAAATTTAGTTAGTCTTTTTGTGTTTGTGTGGAAAATCAGGAGCATACCATAGCATAAAGGCTTAAACTAGTCTGATTTTTATTCTAGGATAAATTATCTTTGTAGCTTTCTACATAGCATCAAATAAATGGATATTTCAACATCCTTACAATGACATATAATTTTATAAATAATCATGAATAAACAGTGCCATCACTAGAAGAGGAAAACTTCCACTTTACTTTTGCATGTTGATATAAAAGGATAATTTTAAATTGAAATTTTCATTTAAAACTATCAAAGAAACATATTGCATTCATTTTTATGTGGTCAAATAATTATGAATACCTTATATATGATTGAAAACTATCTGACTTGAAGCTGGAAAAAACTGGAAAAATTACCAACAAATCATGATTAGCCAAATTGTTATTTTGGTTGAATTTAGTGTAACCCTGTTTTCTCTTAACTACAAATATGAGTACTCAAAGAAAACCCTATAGCCTTCACATTTTTGTAAGTAAAGACAAATTCATTAAACTTTAAGTTAATAAAGAGTCACGTAAAAGTTACACTAGATATTTAAATAGAAAAAGTGGCAGTTGTTTCTTTGCATCTTGGTGAAATATTTCTAAACTTCAAGGAGCTATATTTTATATTAAAATTTAATATAAATATTTATTTAAAATATTAATAGAAATATAAAATCAAAATTATACATATTTATAGGTTGCCTTGTGATGTTTCAAATACATATGTGTGTGTATGTAATGTTTAAATAAGGTTAAACATCTACTTCTTCAAACATCATTTCTTTAGAATAAAATATTTAAACTCCTTTCTTCTAGCTTTTTGAACTATTCAATATCATTATCTACAGTCTTCCTACTGTACAATAGTATACCTAACTTATTTCTATCTAACTATAATAGTACCCATTGATTATCCTCTACCTCAATTCTGCACATCCTCTGGCAGTTACCACTCTACTCTCAACTACAAAAGAGCTGTATTTTGTATGAAGCTTAACTTCAATACTGAGAATGGTAATCAGGTATCAGCTATCAAATTACTACAGAAGTGTGGAGTAGACATGTGCATGTATTAGTTTTCTATGTACAATATCATGACACCCTAATTATGAATAAGACAAGGAGTCTACTATGGTTCTGACATATGTTAAAGTACCTTAGGACCATATACTTTATGTGAAAATTGAAATTACTTCAAAGATTCTGGTTGTACTGCATTAGCAAAAAAAGACTTGAAATTGTAACTCTTAGCTTCTGCCTATGATTTCTACCACACTTCAGTAGGCATTAAAATATATACTTACATGATTGACCAGGGCAGCATGAACCCACAGAATATTTTTTGTAACCTGTGTATGCAATATAACTTACCAGATCTTTCATTTTTAATGAAATTTGGTTATATAAATACTGAGTACAAAGAAAATCCACTGAAATAAAGACTATGCTCAGCTTTAAATAATGTCCAATAATAAAATAACGGACATTAAGCCCAAAATTCCAAGTTTACTTATTTATGTAAATTTATATTTTTACTACATTACCCACACTTCCTTTTTAAATTTTTTTTGGTTGTAGATGGACATAATACCTTTATTTTATTTATTTATGTGGTTCTGAGGATAGAAGCCAGTGCCTCACATATGCTAGGTGAGTGCTCTACAACTGAACCACAACCCCAGCCCTACCCACACTTCTAATTCTTGTGTTTAAAAAAAAAGGAAAAAATCTATAAACACCTTTAAAGAACTATTTTATGCCTTTTAAAGAAGTGTGGTACTTTTTTCAGTACTCTTATCTCAAATTTAGGTCTATAAATTACAATGAAACATGAAAGTGAAAAACAAACTTATAATCACTAAGATGTCTTTTTCCCCCCTGTACTGTTGATTGAACCTGGGACCTTGATCATGCTAGGCAAGGTTTATACCACTGAGCTACATCCCAAGGCCAAGACATGTGCCTTAAAAACTGGTCTGACACTTCATAGTCTTGACTTAGATTTGCCTGTGTAGATTAATTTGATGGAGATAGTTTCTATATTATTTGTGAAATTATACATGCTGCTTTCACTCCCTGGAATATTTTAATTCCTTCCTTTAGTCAATATCCTTCTCATCTTTCAAGACCCAGTTCAGAAAATAGAGCCAATATAAAGTGTTTCCTCATTCTCTTCCTGGAAGGACACACATTAGCCTCATTCCATGGAACTTGATTTGTACTTTATTATATTTCACTTTCTATATTGCACTAAGACTATCTTTTCTACCAGAATGCAATGTAATTTCAGGTAGGATGGGTGCCTATTTCATCCTTACATTATTAAGAGTGCTAGTTGAGGGTCTTGTACAGAAGTACTTAATATTGAATAAAATATATTCTTTCCCTCTCTACTGCTGACTTTAAATCATGTTCACTGACCATTTTTTTCCCCCAGAAAAGCATTTCCACATCAACTGCACATCCTTCTCGGCACTTATGAAAAAAAATATTTGCAACCCCTCAGTAATTTTTTATTAGCAGTATACTATGAAAAATTTAGTACTTATTTGGATTCTGTGGTTCTCCTTAGTGTTTCTTAACTAATTTCAAGAATGAATTTTGTAAGTCCTCAATAAGATGAAAAATTCCCCTTGGGAGAAACCATGCCTTGCTAATTATTTGAGATCTCCCTGACCTAATTCCTCACCCTCACTAATCTGACAATCTCCATTCCCTCACCCTATCACTCAAATCAAGGGCTGGCAAACTTTGGTGTATAGGTCATATAATGACCCTCTGCCTGCTTTCACATAGCCTATTAAGATCAACATATTTTTGTACAATTTAAATGGCTAAAAAATAAACCATAATAAGAATATATTTCAACGTATGAAAAATGATATAGAATTCAAATCTTAGATTTCATAAAGAAACTTTATTGGCACACAGCCATACTCATTAATGTGTCTTTGCTTTCATGTATTATAATAGCAGAATTGAATAGCTACAATAGAGACTGAGTATGGCCCTCAAAGCTCAAAATATAATTTGACTCTTCATAGAAGTAGTTTACTGATATCTGCCTAAACATTTGCTGACATGTTGGTTTTGGGATCTGGTTGTCTTCTTTGGATCTCTAAAACTTTTTTTTTAGATTTTAAAAAAGTCTTGGCTGAGATTTTACTCTAAATCTGAGAGGAAACAGGTTTTTAGGAATCTACACATCAACAAACTGGCTGTGCTCACTGTAGACATAACTACATATGGGTGTGTGTTGTATCTATGTCAATCTGTGGAATTTTTAAACTTTAGGATGTCTCAAATAATTTCAAAAAACTATTCATGCTTCCAAGGGATGTATAACAAGCACCCTTTCAGCAATGTGAAGCTACCTCAGAATGGTGACCACAGCTTTCATTCTTAAGATTTCAATTCTGCATCAAAAATCTGAGGTCAATACCAAGACAGATTCCCTAAGACCATAGAGTAACATAGTAAGAGAGCTAAAGAATATAACCAAATGAGATATTTTATAAAAGAAAGGATAATTACTCTGACCTCTCTGCATAAAAGGCTACTTAATTATCCATGAAACTGCTAAATAGAAAATACAGATCACTGACAAGGACTTGGACTTGGGTTAATAAATAGGATCTACTATAGACTTTTTTCATTTTTAAGCTTTTGTTCTTCCACAGGAAATAGATGGAAGAAGAGGATAATAACCAAGACAGAATTCCACCTTAATTGCTCTAAACATTTGAGAGTTCAGTGCCTATCTGTTCAATTAACTTTACCTATAATATTCTATGATCTGGATTTGAAGTGCCCAGTGAGTAATAGTCACACAATAAAATATTTTCTCTTAAGTGACAGCAATGAAGCATTGTATAGGATAACAGCAAGAAAAAAGTATAAAAGAATTGTAACAAAGAAGGTATTCCTTTACCTTGTTCTTGCTTAATCCTCTCTCTTTCTGCATATCCTGCAGTCAGCATATTAATTCTGTTAAGCCACCTGCAAAAGCAAATATTAAAATCAGTAACATTGTAACTTGGCCCTCAAAGCTCAAAATAATATGTGGATCTTTACATAAAAAGTTGACTGATATCTGCCCAAACATTTGCTGACATATTGGTTTTGGGATCTGGTTGTGTTCTTTGGATATTTAAAACTTGATTGTTTATTAGCTAAAAATATTTACTTATCACAAATAGTTAAGATGACTAAGAATATGTGAAATAGTCCTATGTATAAGATGTGTTCTTTGCCACTCTTGATACATGGAGTCTTCAATGAGTCATAATTTACTGTAGTACAAACCGTTCTCACACCAAAGATGTTATTTCAATACAATAGTTGGGAAAAAACTGTTAACATTTGTTCCAAGAAATATTTGTAATATAAAGGGCTCTGGGATGACCAAAGCCATATCTGTTGCTCCAAATGTAGAAGTACTTCAAATATTCCTGTTGTTCTATTTCATCAGAACAAATGTTCCTTTAGAGATACCTAAATAATCTCCAGTCTAATTTATCCTGATAAGAGAGAGTTACAGACCTTGCCTGTGAAAATAATAGTCTTACTTTGAAATGACAGTTTTGATTAAACTCATTTAAATTTAATAATACAAGAAGAAAAACATCTGGGAGCACTTCAGAAACTTGTCTCTAAATACAAGAGAATTTAGTTTTCCAAAGATACAAGGAACATATATAATAAACATGTATTTTAACCTCTGTCTGTATCTTGAAAATGTATTTTCATGAACAATAGTAAGTTAAAAATAAACCTTATCTATTTCCTCATTCAGTACTACTTCTATTGCCAATGTAGCAACTGCCTGAAGCAAAGCATGGTCTCTATCACTTTCATTTGTTCCATCAGGGCTCTCCCTATGTGCTTATATTTCCAATTATTTATGTTGCATCAGATTAAAAAAAATCGTACAATATTTAAACAAGGTTCTGAGGCCACAGTCTTCCACTGGTCATTCCTGAGCCATGACCCATAAGCTTTCCAAAATCAGAAATTGAAGAAGAACCTGCCTTTCAAATTAGCTTGGGCAAGTATGGGATTACTAGCATAGTTAATATCATTAAATTGTAGAATAATCAATCTAGATATACTTTTAAGAAAAGGGTGTACTTGAGAACTTTTTCTCCTAAGATCATATCTTCCACTCAAGTGGAAGTAACATTATTTGCAGTGATTCATATATTTCACCATTTTTGCCAGGTGGTGTTAACTGTGCATCAGATACTAAGCGTATCTTGAAAAGGAATGAAAGTTATATCTCTGGTAGATGGAATCACATCTACAGAAATTTAAACTTTTAGAATAAGTCACTTAAACCCAAATTTTATTTTGACAAAACCTACAATGTTATCATCACCTCAAGTATGTGTGGGAAATAGAGAAGGAACTGGAGTAGAAACGGAATAAAATACTGATCACATGAATGTAATAGCACAGAATATACACATACACTCCTGAAGATTATAAACTAAGTCACGAGGTCAATTTCTTGACAAATAACTGTTTAAAAGTGACTAATTATTAGCAAAATATCAAATTTAAATCTAGTCTATAGCTCATTTGTAATGAGAAAGGGGTTGAACTACAAGGCAGATCTTATCATTCTTGGGAAAGACTGTCTTGATGTTTTGGGAGTAAAAATCATGATTATATAACTAAAGCAAAATTCACCCACTGAAATATAATCCATTGCCTTATATTTACAACTTTAAAAATCACTAACATTTAGTATTATTGCAATTCCAAAGAACAATGCGGTTCTTATGAAATAAATCAAGAAATTAAAAAGAAGCTTCCTCAAATTTTCAATTTAACACTTATTAAGTGCCTATGTGCTGAACAATGAGCTCTATTAAGGGTATTGATCTTAACATGTGGTAACATGGATAGTTGAGGACCTAGATCAAAGGTTTAAAATAATTAAAACACAAAATAAGAGTACCACACCTCCCCACCTGCCATGTGCATGTGAAAAACATTTTCATCTTGAGAACAAGGAGAAAAAGCTCTCCAAATTCCAATGGCCTAGTGTGAAATTTCAAGAATGGGAGTTATATAAATTAAGAGGAAATTATGGAAACTACAGGAGTTATTCCTTTCATTAAGTGTTCTCAACATCGTCTTGTCATTTCCTTACATTCATATCTCCAATTTAGAAAAACAATGCTTGCACTCCAAAGTTTCAGAAAAACAATATTTATAAAACCATATTCATTCAGTGTGTTCAATTATATTTATGAAGCTACACATTTTTTTGTGCTTAAAAATACCATTTTTAGAGACATACAAAGAGAGGCACATGAAGCAAGAGCCTAAAATATGTAAATGCATTGACAATGAACACTTATGTAGCACTTGAAATTTATTTACCCCTCAAAATTCTTTCTTATTGGGGTAGTTATTATTCTCACTACTTATAAAAGGGTCAAAACCTGGCATAGGGAGTTAAGTTTCTTGCCTAAGGTTGCAGAACTAGTCCTGGTAAATACAGAATTGAAAAGGTTACTATCCCCACCTACCTATTGAACACACTGAACAATAACAGTCATGGAGAGGTCAAGTTCCTCATCCAAGATCACATAGATAGCAAGTGGGGCAGCTGGCATTTAGACAGTCTGGTTCAAAAGTTACATAATTCTGATTACCATCTAATCTTGCCTCTCCTTTACTATAGGCAGTTTATATATGTAATATACACTGGTTGCTGAAATTATAGAAAGGGAGAAAAATTTGAATTTTTTTTTTTAATTTTTTTTATTGGTTGTTCAAAACATTATAAAGCTCTTGACATATCATATTTCATACATTAGATTCAAGTTGGTTATGAACTCCCAATTTTACCCCAAATAGAGATTGCAGAATCACATCGGTTACACATCCACATTTTTACATAATGCCCTATTAGTAACTGTTGTATTCTGCTACCTTTCCTATCCTCTACCATCCCCCCTCCCTCCCCTCCCATCTTCTCTCTCTACCCCATCCACTGTAATTCATATCTCTCCTTGTTTATTTTCCCATTCCCCTCACAACCTCTTATATGTAATTTTGTATAACAATGAGGGTCTCCCTCCATTACCATGCAATTTCCCTTTTCTCTCCCTTTCCATCCCACCTCATGTATCTGTTGAAAAATTTGAATCTTAAACTCAAATTCTATAATTTTATTTTTTATTAAGAGAAATGGAAAAGTATAGGAAAGGGAAGAAAAGAAATTCATAAAAGCTATTGCTGAAATATGAAGCAGAAGGTGGCAGATGATGGGGGATATACACACATGCACACGCACCTTATGTTGTGCCTTTCTTTATATGTCTTTAAAAATGGCATTGTAAGATAAAAATTATGTGTGTGTGTGTGTATTCCTCAAGTCATCAAATAACCACAGAACCATCTAATCAGTTGGCTCTATAGCCCTGTCCAGTGATGTATGAAAGGTGACAGAAAGAAGTACTAACTTTGCTTAGGCCTGAATTATTGAGATGAATGTTCTATCAAAAATAACACTTAAAAATAGCTGAGAGGATTTTGAATGTTCCCAAAACAAAGGAATGATAAATGCTTAAGGAGATGGATATGCTAATTACACTGATTTGATCATTATATTTTATATATATATATCATGCTATACTCTATAAGTATTATAATTATTATGTATTCATTAAAAATAAAACTTTTAAATTTTAAAAAATAGCTTTTTGTGTAATTTTGGGCCATCTATGAATAAATTTTAAGACATTCTTAATATGAACTTTAAAAAATCTGTTTTTCTTGTGGTGGAATTTCTATGGTGTATATGTGGATTCTAGCATGCCTTTGGTAAACTTGACAAATAATCAATGAATAATCATTCATTTTTTTTTCTTTTGCTGTGCAGGGGATGGAACCCAGGACTTTGCACATGCTAGGCAAGTGCTCTACCACTAATCTACATTCCCAGCTAGAGTCTTATTGTTTAAATGCAATTCTTTATGTATTATTATTATGTAAAAAATAAATTTTATATATATTTTAGGCTTACATTATGATGTTATAGGTAAGTACTATTCTTTAAAATTAGGTATGGCCATAATGAATTCTATCTGGGTCCATTTTATTTTAAACTAATTAACCTAGAAACTTCGGTGATATTCTCTAAGCATTACTGTAGAAAAACCTAGGACTCTAGGGCTAAATGACTTTATAACTACTTTGAAATTTAAGTAATACTTTACCTGTTCATATCATCAAGATGTTCAGCAGCAAAATAAAAGCTTTTGATTTTAGGATGACAGGCTTTGAATGCACTGCAAAAAGAAACAAGGTATATTTATTTTATTAAAAATTGGGAAATAAGTTCAAACCAAATATTTTTTATGAGTAAAATTACCTCAACATCTAATCTGAGTTCACATATATATATATATATATATATATGCTTCTACCATGATGACAGAAGTCAGTAAGAAAATCAATTTTCTTCCCACAAAACTGCTTTCTTATTACCTCAATGTGAAAGCATTAGATGAGCAACCTATAATTTAAAAGCTGGAAATTTAAAAAAAAATTTCCCTTCTCTCCCTCTCCCAAAATAAAATCCACTTACTATTTCTTGCGACATTCACTGGCTCTATCAATTTTAAATTCAGGCAGACTGATGAATCCTTCTGCTTTTTCATCCTAAAGAAGCAAGATTCTTGTTTAGGCTGTTACACAAAAAGGGTTGAGGCTAATAATACTGCATAACTATGCCTTAAGTATCTATACTAACAAAATTATTCATTCAATTCCTTAAATTTGACATTTGAGATTATAATTCAGTGACATTCTCTAAGCATTACTGTAGAAAACTTAGAATTACTATAGAAAACTCATCTGTTATATCCTATAAATTTAAGGTATATTTTGAGCATTTAGAATACTGGGGCTAGGGATGTGGCTCAAGCGGTAGCGCGCTCGCCTGGCATGCGTGCGGCCCGGGTTCGATCCTCAGCACCACATACAAAGATGTTGTGTCTGCCGAAAACTGAAAAATAAATATTAAAAAATTCTCTCTCTCTCTCTCTTTTAAAAAAAAGAAAACTAATTAAAAAAAACATTTAGAATACTAAGGTTAAAATATGCACAAAACTTAACTAAAAATTCTCTTTATATTATAATAAGGATAGAAAATTATTTAATTCTCAATGTGCAACATGTCTATTAAGAAATTTTCTGGGGTTTGGGGTATAGCTCAGTGGTGAAACACTTGCTTATTATGTGCAAGGCCCTGGGTGAATCCCCAGCACCCCCCCGCTCCAAAAAAGAGAATTTCCGGTCAGAGTGTATATACTTTTATAACATACAAAACAACTGGAGTTCACATTTGCAATACACATTTTTTCTTAAAGTTTTAATTCTAACATATAAAATATAGAGATGCATACTGATTCAATTTCTCTTCTGTCCAAAGATTCTCTTAACAAATCTGAATTAATAAAAATGTTATATAATTATGAAAACATCATTATATAACATTTGTGTTGTGTATTATTTTTGGTGTGCAAATGAAATAGGCCAACTTGTTTTCAATTATCTGGCTTTGGATATATATTATATTTATAAACATCATTTTTCATGTAGAATTGAATAAAATCCATAAAATCATTTTCTCTTTAATGTTGTATTTACAAAACTCACAAATTATCCAAAATCCTGGGTGATACGAATGATTCCATCTAAGCTAAAACTATCTTTGGCTAACCCTTTAATCACTGTCTTTCTTTTCCTGCACATGGCAAAGCTCTTTAGACTTTTACTCCCCTAAATTCTTATCTTGATTTGTGTGATACCAGTCCATAGCTCCTTATATATCAAGTTCATGTGAGATTACACTGGCATTCATGATCTCAAAGAACAGATTCTCAATTCTTTGTAAGTGTGCATGCATGTGATTTTTGAACTTCTATACAAAACTAAAAAATTAGATGCTATGGGCAGTGATTAAAGTGTGTGTGTGTGTGTGTGTGTGTGTGTGTGTGTGTTATAAATAAGAAAATTATGAAACATTTTCCATCTTTGAATATACTTCCAGTCTTGGATTAAAGACAAAGCTTTCAAATCATGTTCTCAACTTTCATTTCTATGTTACATTATCTTTGCTGTCCTTCATTTAACAATTTAAAATTTTGAATAATTTAAGTATTTTGAGGTAATTATTGCTTCCCTGTGATATGATAAGTAATTTTTATATTTATTTGACAAAGATCACATCAAGGCATTTCTTGCAGAGTGTGCTATGAAACTATTCACTCATATCTCACAAGGCTAACACAATAACTTGTTGATTGAAACACAGCTACTGGATTGAGGGTATAGCTCAATAGGTGGTGTAGAGATCTTGCATAAGACCATGGATTTGATCCCAAGTGTCACAAAAACAAACAAACATGAAAAAACATAGCTAATATTCAATAAAAGAGGCCACAGTTTGAAAGATAGAATATAATCCAGTACCACAGCAGACAAATCTACAAATGATTTTACAATGAAGAAAAACATAGAGATACTATATCTTGATATTACTTGGTAGGCAAGCAAAAAGTATTTAAAATATTCATTAAATAAAAATGTAGGTAAAATTGTAGTTTGTTTATTCTACCTAAAATAAGACACACTTAGTGAAATAAGTGATGTTTCAGGTAATTGTGCAACTGCCAGAAAAATATCAAAAGAACAGAAAATTATCAAATCTTTTAACAGGTAGTACAGATATTTATATTAAATAGAAAAATGTATTATTTCAAGATTTTAAAAATAAAAGGTCAATTTGAAAAATATCACTGGTAACATATTACTTGAGCACTTTTTATATGCCAGATATTGTTCTAAGTGGGATTTACATTCATTGATTCATTTCATCAATATGATAGCCCAGTGAGATATTCATTATTACTCCCATTTTGGAGATAAAGAAACTGAAGCACAATAACTCAGGTGGTGTAATTCTTCAGTCTACATTCCTAACCTTGACATAACATAACAGCCTGTTTGGGGAACACCAAGTTCTTTAGACACAGTATGCTCTAATCACAGGCATAATGATAATGTTCAATTATATTTCAACAAATAATCTTCAAAGGCAAATTAATAATTGTCAACATAATAGTATCTGAAAAGACTATTCAAACAATATTATATTAAACCATGTATATTTTTATGATAGCAGAAGTCATTGCTTAAAAAACCACTGATAACCCTGGAAATAAATCTTTCGTACTAAAAAACTCCAGGAAATTATAAGAACAATTTAAATGTGTTATATATGTTCCCTCTATTCTCAATTCCTGTTGAAATAAATACGTGCAGATTTTCAAAACTAGTCTAGAGGTTCATTTTTAATATCTTATTATATTAATTTTATTACTAAAGAGCTTCTCCATTCAAAAAAAATAGGGAAACAGAAAAAAATGTAAAACTTTGAACAAAAGCAAGACATTTTGGTATTAAATTAGCACATTTAATCCTTTTAGTTAAGCTACTACTTGAATCAGCTGGGTATTTTAGTTAGATACATAGAATTTTAATATACTTTGTGCTTCAGATATGTTTCCATATTAGAATAATTGGGGCACTCTCCTTCCAAAACCCCCAAATGAAATCATTTTAAGATAATGTATTGAGAAAGAACTAGCAGAATTCCTGAACTGACTTTAAGGCAATTTTAATTTCAAAATGTAAGCTTCAAAATGTTGCCACTTTTAGTTAAAGATAGAGAGTGGATAAGAAAACAAAGTGTGCTTTATCTTACCTCTTCATTAATATACCAGTATAGGGATGCATCCTTGAGGACAAACCAATATTTCTTCCATTTCTGTGAAAAATAACTCTTTGCATCTTTCTTTTTCCAAAGCCAGCCCTCACAGTCACCACGACCCAGATCCTTGCAAGAAATCCGTCTTTTGCTCTTGCCTGCTATAGGACCTAAAGATAATAGTGAGTGAAAATTCACTTTAAATTTTGAAAAAGGTATAAAAATAGAGGATTAATTTACAGGTTCTAAAAATAAGTCTGGGTATTTAACTTTAAAAGTTATCATTTTCACATTGTATTAGAATAGAAAAATAAAGACATCTTTAATAGCTTTTCCTCCAAAGAAGTGACACATGATTAATTAAAAAAATGTGTAATCCCAGTCTTAAAACTTGTTGTGACCATTTGCCATAAAAGGTACCTTGTTTGGTAACTGAACCGAAGGAGAAGCTAGTCTCAGCAGCTCTTGCCCTGAGGGGGGGGGGGGGGCTGTGCTTTTCCAAACCACACTGGGCTCAGGCAAGAGAAGGATGGATTAAATGTGCTCGTGATAATCACAGCACAAACGAAGCAGGTAAAACTTTCATTTTCTTTTCTTACCTTTGTTTTTCTTCTTTGATTTGTGCTGCAGAGAGGACTGCTGAAATGTCTGAAATCAAAGACAGGGTAGAATGTTATCTGATACTCAGGATGCAATCCATAGCTCCAGTAGGCTACATAGCTCTCAAGGGCTAAATGATTAATGATCAGAGAAAGTACCTTATTTTTCCCCAAAGCCTCAAAATAAATTAATACATATCATGTCACTTAGATTTCTAATTCTTGTAGGAAGTAGGAGAGGATATTATCTTTACCTTTATTTTGTAGGCAGAGAAATCAGGGTATGAAACACTGGTAAAACTAGGGGCTTTTTTACTTTACTCTTTCTATACCTTTTTAGGGATTTGTTGTGCATTCTCAGACAATATCTCATTTGATTCTCATAAAAATCTCATTAAGTAGACAAGCAAATATTACTTTCATCCACTAATATCCCATTTCCTTAGTGTCTAAACATTATAGCTCTTAGATCAGTATTTTCTTCTCATGCTTAATTCTATCAGAATAGTTGGTGACAAATCTTCATGTAGATGATATCATCCTCATCTCTGATTTCCAATATTTATCTCTCCATTTTTCAGCTACCCACCCCCATGACCATGTTTGATATCTCAAACGCACACCAGCTACTGCCTGAAATACCTATATTTTACATAGTCCATCCCACCAATTTAAAAATATTCATTACATTTTCTAATTAATTGACTATACCACCCTTTTATGCCTATATTTCTCTCCTCTCATTTGGTTTCCATGGGACATCATTATCATGGTTCCACTGAACTATGCTCCCACCTATCTTTTACTCCATGCTATATACCTGAATAGCTTAGTGTATCTGGAGAAAAACCTAAAGCTGTAGTGACTAGTCTAGCTTTTGATCAATGACTATAAATCACCAGTCAAACTTCTAAGCTAGATAGTTTACTGGTGTAACAAGATTAATTACATTTATATAATGTTAGACAAATGGAAACAAAGATAGCATATATGCTTTTAATTCATAGATAGTCCTTCAAAATGAATTTTAGGTAACAGTTTCTTCATAAATATATACCTATAAGGGACAAATGAATTTTGTTTATACAAAATTTTGTGATCTTGGTTTTATACTGTAAATTAATGTTATTTAGTATCTTTATTAAAAATAGTATTTATTTAAAGAATAATCTTTTAATTCTGTGTATGATTTACACAAGTCTAATGAATATTAGGGATGGGTACAATATGTAAAGATAAGGGTCAGATAATTTTCTAATATATAATGTAACCCAGAAATAATAATCACCCAAGTATCAAAGCAATATAAATAAGTATATATGTGGTATTTGTTATATCTCTCTATAAATAAACAGTATTTTCATAAAGATCATGATTGCAGAGTATAATCAGTATACCTATTCTCTCTCTCTCTCTCTCTCTCTCTCTCTCTCTCTCTCTACACACACACACACACACATAAATCTCAACCTTTGTAGCATTCATGACTATAAAAATTCATAATCAATTTTTGAAAGAAAGCATAAAAGATAACCCATTACTCTGTGTTGATTTTCTTGAGTGCACTTTGTTTCAAAATAATAGTTTAAATGATAACTCAGGCTACTGTGCTTAATGTAATTAATTTACATATGGTTATTTTCCCTAAATTGTTTTGCTATAAAATTACTGATTAGGATTTTTCCTTTTGTGTTTCCACAAGTAATCATTATAGTTTTACAGCTCATTATTTTGAAAAAATGACAAAGATGGGGGTGGTTTGTTTTTATGAAACTACATGGGTAACAGACAGCTTGGAAGAATTGGGTTATATAATCTACCTCCTATGCATTTTGTATGCTATCCTTAGAATTTGAAGGTCTACTTAAAAATCTGCATAAAACACCATTTTATGCTCTCCAGGTTTCCTTTTTAACAAGATTATCTTGTCTTTCCCTATAAACATATGGTATTTTCATAAAGATCATGATTACAGAGTGTAACTGGTATACATATTGTTGAAACCTGGCAACTCCTAGGTACTCAATACAAATTTAATCATTTGATGGAATAAAGCCTTAAATATCTTTTGTAAATACTGTCAATATTACAATGGAGTTATTTTAAGAGAGATTTCCTTATTTTTCCAAGTGATTTGATATTTTAAACAATGAACAAGTTAATTGAATTATAGTTCTTTGAAGGTAATGAGAAAACAGCATTAAAAATTTACATTTAGGAAGAAAACAGTTAATACAGTAGGCCTGAGGATGCTATCTTAGAAGGATGTATTAGGTTGGCCCTTGGCTAGCATCTGGGAACTTGGCTGGTAAACAGTTCTCTATACTAATATGAAGCTTCCCTAAATGATGAATATGTTTCCCACATAGGGGTAATGAATACCTGCTTTCTTGCTGGAAAGTCTGAAATTTTTGTGGTTTACAGATAAAGGATGCCTGTGTGACCAACTCAATATAACGTTTGGGTGTTGAGTCTCTAATGGGTTTCCCTGGATAGAAACACCACAAATCATGTGGCTGATGGGGAGAGAGTTTGCTCTGTGTGGCCTGTCATGGGACAGGGAGAGCATCGAAAACTTGCACATGGATTTTTCCAGATTCCAGAGGTTTTCTCTCTCTTTTTTTAAAAACTTGTTGAGCTTTATATCACTTACTGTATCTCTCTAATAATCTTTATTGTGAATACAAATACGTGTTATATCCTATGAGTTCTAGCAAATTACCAAACATGGGGTTGTCTTGAAAAACCCCCAGTCTCATATTATAAATAATCCTTTACAAACTTATATTAGAAATTGTTCATTATTACACACACAAATAGCTCCTGATAGTTAAGGTTTCCTCATGTCATAAGCAGTCACATTGTTATGAAAACCTTGAGGTACAAATTTATGATAATATACTGTTTTTAGTAGAACTGAAGGAGTTATTCATTCTGATTGACAGAACTTAATTTGTGCAAAACATTTTAGTTTCTAAGGATATTATGCAATATTTAATAAGAGCAAGGCATTAAGAACACACTATAATAAATAACAAGCTGATCATTATAAGGTTCTAAAATAACTAAAAAGGAGTCCTTGACTCTTTGCATTAATGACAACACAATATTTCTCATGAGAACGAAAATTCATAATGCATCTTATTTCTCTACTTTTTGTATTAGTTTCAGATCACCCTTCATCCAGGTTCATGCTCAAGTAAGTATATCTTTTAGAAGGTCTGGTACAACAATCTGTCATTGGCAAATTCTTCTAGTTTTTCTTTCTTTTATGTTTTTATTAGTACATTATAATTATACACAATAGTGGGGTTCATTGTGACATATTCATATGTGTATGTAATTTGCTACAATTAATTCCCCAGTTCTTCCCTTTCACTTTCTTCTTCCCGCCCCCTTGATCCTCTACCTCACCTCTATTGATCTCCATTAAATATTCATGAGATTTCCTCTTTGTACGTTTGAAAATCCTTTACGTTTTAAATAACATCTTAGCTGTATACAGAATTCTGAATTGAAATAATTTTCTTTGACAATTTGAACATACTACTATTTTGGCATTTACTGTTGCTCTTAAGACATCTGTAGCTATTGTCATTTGTTATAATCTGTCTTTAACCTCTGTAGCTTTTAAAATATTTTTCTCTTTATTTCTAATATTCTGCAGTTTCACTGTTATATTTATATGTCATAATTTAACTTAATTAACCTTATATAGCCTTCATTAGGTTGCACTGAAAGTTTTTTTCTTTCATTCTGGACATTCTCAATCATTATCTCTTTGAATGGTCTTTTTTTGATAGCCCTCTTTAATTCTCTAGATGTATGTTATCACCTGTATGTATGTATCACCTGTGTGTCTTTCATATTTTTTTAACCTTTTCATACATTTGCAATCTCTTTTAGGTGAATCCATTCTACTATCTTCCAATTTCTTAATTCTCTGATTTTCATCTCACCTGAAGTTAATCTCATCTACAATGTGTTTATTTCACTTACAATATTTTATATTTACAGGCTATCTAGTTGGTATTGGCTTTTTTTGAATACCCACTTTTACTGATCTTTGTTTTATTTCAAAATTTATTTTAAAAACTTTTGTGAATTTCTCATGTTTGCATTTAGCATGGAATCATCTAATTCATTAGTTCATTGTCTTTTTTATAAAAGCATTAATTTTCACTAGACATTTTTGGATTTTTAGCTGGAGTGCAATGTTCTTCCTGGGAGGAAGTTTCTTTTTGCATTCACAGCTCCCTGTCTGAATTCTGTTGTCTTCTGCCTCCATTCCTAGGGCACCTTCATCTTTTAAATGATGACATGGGTTTCTGTCACATCCCTGAACTCCAAGTGGGAGATACCTGACCAATGGTTCTAAATATACATTTTTTCTTGGTTCCCTGCTCAAACACAGGAACTTAGCTTTATATCAGTCTTACCCCTGGTTATTATTTATCTTTATGCAACCTCATTACTCACAAATGAAGACACTGTTGCTTGTCTTCCCAGTTAACTTCACTCAGTGAGTCAATCATGTTTCCCAACATTGCTGAGGTCCATTTGTTCTCTGATACTCATTAGAGACAATCCCCAGCCATTACTACCTCTTTCTGTTCTAAGACCTAGCAGATACATGGCTTTAGTTCCCAAATATCACTTACCATTTTTGTTCTGGTCCTTAGAGAGTAGATCTAATATTTTTTTAACCATCAAACTATATGTTTTCTTTGTTTTATTGCTATATATTTGGTGTAGAATGAATGAAAGGGCTTGCACAAGTGCATGAAAGTGAAGGAGTGGTTTTTTTTTTTTGTGTGTGTGTGTGTGGGTGTGTGTGAATTTAAAGTTTATAATACTTATTGGCCACCAAAAATTGGTTCTTCTACTAAGCAGTTTTGAAGGCCAATTCTCTTAGAAAGCATCTCCTTATCTTATTTCCTAAACCATGTTTCATTAAATATTTCTAATACTGTCCTAGCATTTTCTGTTTATTTTAGTGAGTATCTGGGCAAAAGTTCTTCAAACATTTTAAGAATGATCTACAAACTC